ATGTGTTATAAAAGTAAAGAAAATTCGTATAAATAAGCAAAACAATTCAAAATCTTGTCCAAAGTATGTAGGCTAATGGCATAATCGAGGGTATAAGTTTTATTACACACTACGTTTAATTTGAATTTCAGCGTGTGCACTTACGTTATGTTATGTTATTATTATTTTGATATTTAATATTTGAAACTGATTAACAACCAAACAACACAATGGGAGCCATAAAAGGGATAAAACAATACTAATTATTATTATTATTATTATTTTTGTTAGACTTTCATGACAGCTTTAATGTTAACAACTAAACAACACAGGATATATAGGTAAATCAATGGGAGCCATAAAAGGGATATAACAATACTAATTATTATTATTATTATTATTATTATTTTTGTTAGACTTTCATGACAGCTTTAATGTTAACCGAAATTCGCGCCAGCTGAAAACGGAAATAAAATTCATAAAATACGCATGCGTATTGAAGTTTAATTCAAGATGGACGAGTTTTATGAACCGTGAAAAACGTCTGTGTAAATATAGTTTAAATGGGTTTATTGATCAACATTGAATATTAATACAGTTATGGATTCTACGGCGGGTTACGACCCAACACTGCCGTTGGATTTGGATGGCAGGTGAGTGCACAATTGGCCCCGTTTTCTCGAAAAAATCTTATGTTTACATTTTGTCAGTTGCTTCTCTGTTTTGGTTCATTCATCCATTCCTTTTCCTTGCCAGTTTCAGAAGGACTAACATTCAAATTTTGATTAGGTCATATAGATAATATAAATATAGGGGCGGGAATTATGAACATTATGATGTTGTCTTTAGATGTTGATCTCACAAAATATTAGTTGATTAAATCAAATCTCTCTGACCAATTTTGTTTTGTTAACTTTTGATTTGAAATGGATCATGATCATACCTTTTCTTTCATGTAACTTTCCCTCTGCTCTCTTCGATCTATGTTTCCTTGTTGTAGTATCTTATCTTTATCTAGTTGTCTCATCTCAAATCAGTGTGGGAATGATTGTTAACGGTAATCTTTTATATTACTGGTCAAAGCCTAGTCTACTGCCTCTTAATTTAAAGGGACAGTGTTGATTTAACATGACAGTCCATGGAAAATGATATTTTACATAGAGTTCACTACATTAACAAACTGGTATTATATCGTGAACTGAGACATTTTGCATTCGACACCATTCCAAATGATAAATGAATAATAATTATATCCTTTTCCATCACTGGCATTAGAATGCCATGTTAATTCGACAATGTTTATCTTGAGGTGGAAGAAGGGAATTGCATGCACAGGTATTATTATTATAGGTAGAAAGTTAGTTTGAGGTATTTTGTAGGAAATATGCAAATTTTGTACATTTCTAATAGTTCTGAAGGCTATTTATCTAAATTCAATACCAAAATCAATCCTTAAAAATGGCTACTCTGGCCTGTTAACCATGGTAATGATGTCTAACATCATCAATGAATATGACAGTGCTCAGATCAGTTGCCAGAAAACATAAAATGCTTTACACTTTATTACAACAATATGTTTTTCCAAGTACCAGTGCTTTATGTTATCTAATAGTAGATTATGTTGTATAGGTAGTTATGTAAGCTTATATTCAACAATTGTAAGTTAAATTAAAGAATTCATGATCAAATTCTCATGGAAGCAGGCTGTACTAAAAATATTGTTTTATTCACCTATTTCAATTATCAATCAAATGACACTTAGCTCTAAGCAATGAAGACAATGAAGGGTTTTATCTTAATAGTAAAGGATAATACAGGACTAACAAAATATCTAAGATAGCTTATAAAAAGATTAGATAAATAATAGAAAATTAAGATCATTGTTTATTTTTAAGTGTTTGTAACTTTAGACCATCTTATGAATATTGAAACCTTATAATTATTTTAATTCAGAAGTTGATCTTTTGAATAATGGCGTCAGTATATGATATATTAAATGTTGGCCTTTCATAATCTACATATCCACCCTAACTTTAGATCATCCATTGAAACCCTATGATATGAATTATTTTAAGCCAGAAGTTTAACTTTTGAATCATATGGTATCAGTTTATTTATTAATTAATTGTGGGTGTTTATGATAAGTTTTAGTTACAGTATGAATAGAGATCTTAGCTTACATACATAAGTATGAGTAATGTTACAACTGAAGTATTAATAGTGCACACATAAGCTGTAATCTGTTTTTTTTTTAGCTGGACAATTCCATTCTATTGAAGCATTCCATGAAAGTTTTACTTTGAAAGAGATCTAGTCTTTTGTATAAATGTGTTGACTAACCTAGATATTTTCTATCTGAATGATAAGTAAGGTGGTATATCAATGGAATGGTGCCAATGTTATTATTATAACTCCAGTAGATAAAAACCATGAGATATAGACTACTGGTATGTATGTAGGTGTTTCCTGGCAGTCACTGAACTATGAACTCAAACTTAGCTGTAACATAGTTGTAATAAATCTGTATATTGAAATTCAACATCAATTTCCTTACCAATATGAAAGTAGACACACAGAATGATTTGTAGTCACAGTCTGAAATACTCAATTTGAGTTTGTCTCATGTCCTCTTATGGTTTTGAAAGATTATGTATTATACCTAATCATACATAATGTTTTTCATTCATAAATGAGAAACAAGGCACACAAGTTTTCTATTAAAGGCAGTATAACCATTCTGTTCTATTTGAACTAGTCCATGCATATAAAATTCTGACTTCCTTGTTCAGGTTGGCATTTTTCTTCAAATAAAAAATCATGACCAGTATTTCAGAGGGTCAAACTGACAAATATAGTCATATTAACAGCCCTGGATAGCCAGGTGAAACTTCTGCATATATTATATACTATCTTTACAATCTTATGATCTGGTCATGCTGTATGAAATCCTGGTTCCCCTCGGTCAGATTCTGTGTTAATTTATGAGGTTTGATGTTTATTTTGTCTCTAAATTGCACTTTAGGGTTATCATAACTATCATTCACAGTTTCAAAAGGTGCATTTTAACATTTGGTGTGTTTTTTCCATCAGTGTTAATATCTAGCCTGAACTTGACCTCATTTATCATTACCTATGGTACCGGTATGTCATTTATATTATTTAATCTTATAAGACATACTTTTCAACAAATGCAACTGCAAGACAAATTGCTTTGTTTGGAAATTCTAATCTCAATATAGTGATTCCAAACATGATGTTTCAATAGCTGAACTTCTATTTGATAGTCAATCTTGAAAATTTCAGTCAGTAGGTTGATATAGAAAATAAGGTTAATGAAATTGCTTAGTCTCTGTATAAAAGAGGGAAAAAGTAGAGAAAATAAACAGTATAAATCAGGTTCCATGTTGAAGACATGATAATGTATTTCATGAAATGAGTTCTGTCCAACAGTGTTATTATTTGTCTAACATGTTATTTTCCTAATTCAATCTTTAGTATTCACATCCTGAAATTAAGAGTTAATGAGATAATCAATATTGTGATATTTTGTGATAAGATAAATTATGGGCTTTAGACAAGATATATTTGATACAAATCTTAAAAACTAGTGATTGGTATTCTGTTTTATTTTTTCTTCTCTGATTGTAAAATTCTATAATGTGATGAATGTGAACAATATTGTACAAAATGTGTCCGTGGTATTTACAAAACTATTGTTTATTATACAGGAATAAAGATAGCTGCTTAACCAGATTATAGAGCTCTATATCAGCTATTTCTTCAACACTTTTCGAGCGCTCTCAGAATTATAATCTAGGCTCTTTTTCTTGTAAAATTCAACAAAAAAGGCCACACAAATTTAGACTTTTGGATTGAATTTAGACTCTGAAATGCAGCTATAACAAATATAAGTATAAACTCTATTTAAGATTAATACCCCCCATATAAGTACATAAGAAAGCGTCAGATTTTGATTCTGAAAGGTAACCTAGAAAGCTAATTTGAGATCTATCATCAGGTAATGCAAATAATAAGCAGACTGTAAAGATAAGTGTGAGCTGTACCATTTACTAGCTGAACATACAAGATGAAGATTTGCTATAATACTCAAATGATGTTCACATACTCCTTCATGTTTCTTCATTTTGATATTGAATGATAAAAAAACTCATTTTCATTTCTAACCTTGCTACATAGATATCATTAATTACCTGCAGGTGTATTATCACAGTCAGGTTCTCTCACCTTTAACAGATAAATCTTGATGAAATAGTTATTTTCAGTTTGATACACAACTTTTTGGGGGTTATTTAATCAGTTTGACTTTGATTGCATCAGTTACTTTCCTACAAATGTCTTTTCTATGTGACCTTATGGTTTGAAAATATGATAAAAATTGATGCTTCCATCTGATTCTCTCTATCTTGTACTTTCATTTATAATACTTTACTTGCAAGGTCTCTGAGCCTGTCTCATACCGAGACTAAAATTATACTTGACATTGCCTTGCAAGCTATCTAGCACATCCAAATAAGTATATTTAAATCCATAATCGGGGAGCAAACTGCCCTCTAGTTTGCGATATCAGCATGTGCTGGAACCAATCGTTAACTTGTCATCTACCAACCAACCAAGCAAACTGCTTTGAAGAAAAATAATAAAGTACCATACAAATCAAAAGTCCAAACCAGGTATAAGTGATGACAGTCCACTGATTATCATGTTATTATAAAATCATAAAAC